CTTCCTGAAGAAATATTGTTCAGTTTACGGGGGAAAATGATTTTTGTATATAAAAGTTAAAGTAGTGCTCAAGTGACTGCAATCAAGATGCATCGAAGAGAAGATAGATTTACGATCAGGTAAACTAAAAATCATTTCATTTTTACATGTTGTGTAGAATTAGATAATCGTCAATTCAATCTTTACTGTCAAAATAAATACCTCTACTACCATGCCGCTTCATGCAACAGGCATTTCTCGAAATATTTAAACTTTCCTTAACTTCATTTAGATATTCTCAATTTTAGGACAACGGTGTGGATTGCTTTTCATCTTCCGAACATAATTTCCCTAGCAATACTCTAAATTGCATGTACCTTTCCTGAGCCATCCTTCATTATCTCTGAATTTGTGTCATTTCCGCCCTTTTCTTACTGAACTTGCTACACCTGAGTCGACCCAGTGGGTCGATCGATCAGTGTGATTATGCTCCATCACAAGTGACCCGTATCACCTTCAACTCAACTCCCTACGCTCTCCTTACACGCAACCCGTCTGGTATCCACTGATGGACACACATGCATGCCGAAATAAGTCCATTGTTCCCGTCCCACAAGCGATTAGTATTTTCACCCGTGCATGTGTTGGCTGGCTGTTAGCCGTCGATTGGACCCTTATACATATATGCTTGCCACCGAAGTCATTCTGGCCACTGATTTTGACTGGATTGTACGCGCATTCGTTGAGTTGAAAGCTGTAACATCCTTTGGAGGCTCATTTTGGTATTGTGTTCTGATTGTAAATCTCAACTATTTTAATGAAGACACACTATCATTTTATTCTGCCTTGATAGTGTGCACACAGTGCATGCACTACCTGATTTGGCTCACTTAGTCTATAATAATCGTGCGTTGCCTATACCAGTACCGTATTACAACAAAATCTCGTCTTTTGTTGACTTCGGGATTTGCACGTCACTCAATCGCTAAGACGGATTTCCAGTGTGTAATCCATATCAAAGAATATTCTCCGGAGATTCTACACTGGGAATCTATGAGAATACTACCGGTACGGAATCGGGCTTAGAAACACAACTATAAGCAGACGGTTTACATGTTCAGGTTGAAATGAGAATTAATGGATATAAAAATAAAAATAATAAATTTCGTTTTACTTCCCTTTTTTAATTATTAAATATACAAATGTACAGTCAACTTTCAGGAAGGGGGCTGTGGCGACACAACGGCTGCCTGTGGGAAATACAGATATATGGAAAATGGACCGCGGTGGAGCGGTTTGAACCTGGGACACTCAGGTCAATAGTTGGTGACCTAACTACTTGGCCACAACCGATATATTATTACTGTCAATTAAGTAATGTGTTACTCCTCAGGGGCATATTTATTTAAGTAAACACATATTACAGCACTGAATGAGATTATAATGAGTATACTGAAAAAATCCTTATTTCAATAGAAAGCCTAACGTGGACTGTGTATTCAAACGGTTACAAATTCATCAGTTTATTTTTCACTTACTACAAATGCGAGATGAAAACTCTGAGCATTTGTGTTGACTACAAACCAAGTACAAAGTCATATGAATTCGACAAAGTGAAACACTTCAACTAATTCTTTACTTCATCTTCTGGAATCTATCAAACTGGTAAGAAACGAACAGCCTGATTATGATGATACAAAGAATCGACGTGGACGTGCAGAAGCGCTACGATTTTTATGGTTCTTCTTCTTATCAAATTTGAGGGTTATTTCACGATTTCTTTGATTATTAAAAGGGTTAACAATGCACATGTTTACCGAAAACAGTCAAAAGGATCTCAAATACATTAATAGCATCTAATGACAAAAAATCGTTCGGCGTAATATTTTTCATGATGTACTTTTTAAATTTATCTGAACACCGTAGAGAGTTCAGTTGTCTTGCTATTGATTCTCAATCTGGCTGTCCCAGCATGAGCTATCAGGTCGATTCTTTAACACGTTTTACATGTTTGCACCAGTGCGATTCGCAATGATATCATTTGGTGATGGGAGATTTTTCCACCTACCTCGTAATACAAACGTAATCGCACAAATAGATACCATTCGTTAGTCTTTATCAGCGGAGGAATTCAGCATCGTAAGACAGGTTTGAATAAGTTGGTATGCCTCCTAATTTAGCATTTCAATTATGAATACCTTGCACCGCAAATCATGTTTGATGATAGTCTTGCTGAAAATCAAATAAAAAGATTTACGAGGTCCCTTATAGTAAATATTTTTTATCTTTCGTGTTTGTTTGAACATTCTCAAATACTGAAGCTAACGGTTTAAATTTCTTTACAGACATTGCATTTAGTAAAACTGTACATTAACGTTTATGTCATCACAAAGCAGAAGGAAAAGTAAAAGTAAAATGGTGCCGTGCACCAAATATACCGGAGTTTTCTAGGATAGAAAGAGGTTATTTAAATTTTGTGTAAGCAAGTATAAAAATGTAAGATTTTGTACTCTTAATATACAAAACATGGAATAAGGATTATTTTTCTATCATACGGTGCATAGTTGACCGCTTAAGTGATTTTTCGAAAGCACAGGGTTACTGATTTTCAGTATTCGTAAGCAGCAATTATGATTGTAAACAGTACTTGCCATGATAGAAGATAAAACGAAGAACATATAGTCATATATGTTGCGATGTACTTTCAGATTTCTTTCGTGCATGCTTATTAAGTAAAAGATTTATATGCACCACTAAACTGAGTCATAATAAGCAGGAGGGTAGAGTCTGAGATGTTTCCAGGGTATATTCAAGCGCTCTCTGTTGGCACAGAGTGAGTTTACAATGATCGATTGTTATTGCCTACGCAAGTTGTAGTAACTGAGAGATTCTGACTAACTAGGTTATTCCGAATGACTTATCGTAATCGACCTCGTGAGGTGCTGGTAACAAATGGAACTCACGCTGTGGTAACAAGAAAAACCTTTTGTTGCATCGGACCTGCCTTAGTGATGTTTGAGACTGATTCCCGTCCCATCTTATTGAATGGCGTACAAAGATTTATAAACACATGTTTTCCCACAGTATACATAATTTAGAATACAGAAAACATTACTGCATAAGCGCATCACGCAATTTCAGATTTTCGTTTTATTCGTCCGGCCTTTATTCCCCACCATTGCCAGATTCATTCCTGATTCTTTTTATTTTATTTTGTTGAAACTTCATTTTTCCGTTCATTCAGAATTTCCTCCTGTGGTTCTTTGAAAAGATCTCTTCGAAACTGAAGCTAAACCGAAAACATCTGGTTTCAATTAATAATATCTACAAAATTCGGGCCTCTATCCAGAAACAAATTTGGAATTATACTAGAAATGATGTTTGCGTTATCAGTGATATTGCAACTTATATTTGATTAACACTATTTATAGGTCAAACTATACATGGTATGATAACTTTGATGAATTTCGCTAAACGTGGATGAAATATCATGTTTACACAAGCCTGCCGAAGTGTAAGATTCCAGATTTACCATAATAGGATGATCTACCAATTAATTGTGTTAGCTGACTATGCAGTGTTTCAGAAGATGTGCAGTTATGAGACTCAACGACGGTCTTTGTTCAAAAGCGTCTATTTTTGGAAGCCCGTCGATACTGGTAAAGTGTGTTCGGAAGAGGTGACCGCTCTTTGGGAGAACGTTCCATTGAGGACTATTGGACTTAGAATTTTAGCTTGTATGTTTTAGTTTAGTATAGCGAGTATTTTTAAATCTAATCATACAATTGGTTACCACTGGTATAATTACAACGTTGTAAAGCAGTGCATGGACTCAGATAATGGTAATAAATATTTAGTTAGTTGATTACTGCTGCCACTATTTGCAGATCCCTTAGACACATACCAACACTTTACCTAATAAATGGTGGCAAACGGGAGCAGAGTGCAGAATACGTTGGAGCAAAGAAGGTTATACGAAGTAAAATGCAGTTTTCTCCTCTGAAACAGAGTAGTTAAGGCGTGAACACGAACTCTATTTGAAGTAAATAAGGAGTCAAACTGTGCTCTGTTCCAGTTGTAGCAACCCAATCTTGAACGATGGACACAATACTCAAGTAAACATTGTACTACATTGCGGTAAACACTCAAGGAAAGGTACTAGCTAACATGACATTGATCGAAGAGGCTGTCTGCAAATATGAGTAAAGTTGGCCATTCAGCCTAGGTCGTTCTGCATTGAAAAATGAATACAGTCCTGAGAAATGATTTAAAACAGAATGGTTCATCATTGCTCTAAATCATGTTATTAGGATTATATTAACTCGACTCCATACCGAATGCAACAATTGGGTGAGTAAAAATCAGGTGGGGCTCAGGCTAACTCAGTGCTTCACGAACTGTGCTGGAACTTTCTTTTTTCTAATGGTATGTATTTTTTAAGCGAACAAATGACTTTCTTTTACTTTGTTCTCCCAACGAATTGTATTTTGACCATGCTTTCAGTAACTAAAAGGTTTCGTACATTAATAAAATCATACTTTTCAAAATGGTGTAATTCAAATCAAAATGTGGCACTTATAAATAATATCTCCCTTTAGTTTTTCGTTGAAGGAACAAAAGGAAATAAGGAATTATCTAGGGCTACGTCATTTCACAAAAGACCGTTACAATAAGTAACCGAAGAAGTAATAAAAGAGGCACACGTTAAACGTCACTTTTAAGCACAACCTTCGATATCATATTTGATGAGAAGAGTTTAATCCTATCACGTTGGTATATCAAATTTTCATCAGAGGTTTATACTAAAACTGCTTTGCAAGTTATGATCAGTCGTCTCCTTTCGCTCCAAATTAGTTCCGATTGTCTATATCTATTCACCATCCAACCTGAGCTAATTATGAAACCTCAAATGTGAACACTATGGAAGGAAAGATAACACACTCAAACTGAGCTTATCTACTAGAAAGTTATCTTCTGAATAAGAAGTGGCAAGAAAGATAAAACTCGAACCTTATTTTAAACTATAACTTGATGAAATTTATAAAGTTATAACTTACTTGACGTTCTGCATCGTATTCGTCGAACTCGTCATTCGGCCAGTGTAAAACATTCGGGAGAAATTTATGTGGATGCGGACTGATGGCACGCAACGACTCCATCCGAAGTGAAGATCCTCGCGTTCGCACTGTATTTTCAGATTTAAACGCTGGATGATAACTTGACACGGATTGATAACTCTGAGATCTAGCACTTGTTGGTGGTGTCCTGCTCATAGTAAACGAGTCATGCACTTCCGGTATGCTCTTTGCTGACGGAGCCGAGGGTTTCCGAGCTAGATTCTGCTCACAAGGAAGCAAAGCAAGAGTATCAGACTCGGAATGTGTTGAATGTACTGACGTTGTTTGATAAAGCCGTGCGGTCTCCAAATCCGAAGTCTCCTGGACAACATCAAACAGTACCGTTTGTTGATCGGCTGGTAAAGCAGCTTCGTGATATACCGATCCGAAATGTTCCGATGCCGAACGGGCCGGCTGCACCAGCAGCTGTTGCTTTGGTAAGTCGTGCCAAACACCTGATGGGAGCGAACGAACCGGTGAAAAGTAAAATGGTGAAGCACTCGATCCTCTGAGTTCCTTCATTTGGAGGGACTGTTGCTTACGTTTGTATGAAGGGATGCGAAACTTAAGAAATTTCATTGAACGAAAAGATTGCCTGAGGTATCGGTCTACTTTGATGCTTTTGCACAGTTCACAGCGATGCCGTTAGGAAAACATGCCCTTTGGAACCATAAAAATGGAGTAAGAAAAGACGAATGATGAAATTTGCGATCAGCTGAGGCTTATGTTGATATTTACATGAAGAATCGTCGATAATTTGATCGATGACATGGAACGTGGTAGATTCGCAGCAGGACGCCCACAGCTGGACCCCTGTAATTTCAGAAACGATGATTTCAGTTTATACTGTTCGTTTAAGATTTTGGCACATACTGTGATGGTTCATTTTGATGCACTTAAACAGAATTGTATGATAACTAAAGTGATTCCATCAACTGTTGCTTCCCTTGGCTGTCTAGCAAGCGGTTTACTGAACTGCTAGTAGTTATTTGATTGGGGGAACATCTAGAGCTCCATAAACCCTGTTATAAGTGATCTACGACTATGATCAGATGTTTACTATTACGCGACCAGGTAGGTTTCGCTTATCTAGTACATTCTGACACCATAGGAAATTTCGGATTATCGACTAAATTGACTTAGTTAATCCTATAGTATTTTCGCTGCTTGATTATATTTTCAAGTGTCAGTCGTAATAAAATTTATATTACCGCCCTGTTGTTAATGATTACTTAAGCTACACAATTTCATTATAAATAAGGACCACGTTAGCAGCTATATTCATGCTTATAATTATGATGGGTCTCCTACTGTAAAAGCCAAAATACCCGCTGACTGATCGTGTCCCCTGGAGGGTAGGACAAAGTTCATTGAAAGAATGTCGTAGTCGATAAAGAAGGATCAACATTGTAAAAATCAAAATTGTTTAATTTTAAGAACTTTTTGCAGGCGGTGCAAACTGTAACCTGTTTCCCTTAGTTTTTTGGTTAAATAGGTAGTGGCACAGACTGTTTGACAAATTCATAGTGACATTCGATAATGCTTGATCTTCCAAGATAGCGAAACTCCCTTATTTTCAATACATTTTTAATGAAACACTATTATTAGTAGTAGTAGTAATATTATTATTATTATTTCATTCGGCGTGACGAACAATGTACATTTTTAACTGAAACGTAAGCCAATATGGCTACGCAAGTTATACAAATAAATAAAAATGATAAATTTTTATCAAAAAGATAAGCCCCAAACGTTGGAAGGCCTACAAATTCTTTCTAATGTTTCCAGATTGAACACATTATTATTCGCAAATGGTAAAGGTATGTGTCCTCTCTGCATAAAACAATTGTTGCAGAAAAACTGTGAGAGCATAATTGTGCTTTTCAAGCGAAACGAAGGCCCCTCACTTCATTATGGAATCACATGATGCACTTTCAAGAAAACTGCTTGCTACTTCATTGCACCTCGATCGATATTATTCCAGTTGTCCGACATGCACAGTTATAGTTGTTTACGGTGCAGCACAGCACGATAAAAAAACAACGTTTAGAAAACCATCTGCATTCGTGGAAAACTATGGTTGGTTGGTGGACAAAGCCCCTTATATTCATTAGCTTTGGTTTTGTGGTATATAATTTAAACTAGCCGGAAGTTGATGACGTTATGAATAAACGGCATCTGCATCTATTTTTTCACAAATGCAGTCATAGCAACATGCATATTGAATTGGCCAACTACATTGATCAGTTTCATGAGGCAGTTGTTAAATATCTTACAATGAAAGTAAATGCACAATACTCAACAGGATTTTTTATTTTTTAGATCAATAAAATATAAATTATCAAGTAGCTATTGGCATTTGTATTGCACATGGCAGAAAAATTTTAGTATTTAGTTGAAATATACCTTGGCCTGTTACCAATGATTGGTCATAATCTTAGAGAGCACCACCTTTTGATAACTCCTTACGTTTGATGGGTTGGTATATTTCTTTGGCAAATGATAGCATTTCGGATGATTGTGCTCAAAGTAGACAATTGACTGCAAAATTTACCTGTTTTGAAGTTAGAAAACGGTGGCGGCTTTCAGCAGTTTGATTAGTCTATAATGAAATTTATTGTGGTAAAACTCAACAATGTTTAAACGTTCAAAACTGAATCACTCCAATCATTGAACGAGTGAACAACGACAACAACAACGTACCTAGTTGGTTAAATAAATCACCAAGTCATTTCACTCTCAAAGCCATGTAGGAATCAAACAACTGCTGATCAAAATGTTTAGCGTAAATAATAAGTCAGAATTCAAAAACCAATTGACATTTACGTATGAATGGTTGGATTTGGTTGCGAATGTGATTGAAATTGATTACCATATTTTCTGTTGCAAATTACCTTATCTCTCATCCAGAAATTGAGCAATAAAATATTGACTTGTGACGGTTTGGTTTTCCCTACCAATTAAACCCACCCAAAAGTCGATCTTTTTGTCTTTTCGTGCGCATTCGTATGTATGTGTAGGAGAGCAACAGCACGTGACTCTAGCTCCAAATTGATAAACATGTGAACTTAAGATAAACATCCCTTAAAAACCAGTTATAATGTGTGACGTTTTGGCACGTTGACTAGATTCACGAAAACGTGATTGCTGTACGACAGTTTACCGGCTCATCACAGTTGCTCTTCAACTGCTTTAATACTGAGTGGTGGGCAGACCTCCATGTAAATTTATCTGAATCCCTATAAGCACGGAGCTGGTGCGTACTTGATTTGAACACTTGAATTGTTCAACTAGTTAGATCTAGAAAAACTCAACCAGCAGTACTGATGAGATAAAAAAATCAGTAATGTCCTTACAGAGTTGATGAGCTTTCAGTTTACGTCTTGTTTGCTCTGTACACGATGAAGTTTGTCGTGTCAACGAATGACAAGTTTTCCTTTGAAACCATTACAAGTTGCATCCTTCAGTTATTAACTGCGCAATGATTTTCAATACTTATCCTTTGCATACTTTTCAATGTCCTTGAAGCCGAAGCACAGCACCAAAACAATTCGACTTGGGGTAACTATCAATGCATAAAAGATATTCTAATGAAAGTAAAATATTCATCAAAAAGCTCAATCAGGAAATCTACAGTCTCATTTGAACTACTGGATTTCTTTTATCACAATCTGACATTTCGTTGTTTAGTCACAAAGTTGATCTTCTAACATAAAATAATCTCTCTCTTTAGGGTTCATTTAACGCAATCCGACAAAGAAAATAATGGGCATATAGCAGACATGATTTTATATATAACAGTTATACTTCGAAACATTTTCGGAATCCGTTAATCGTAGTTCAACGATCTGATTGTCAATGTTCAGTTCAGGTCCAAGGAGTCCTGGTAGTTATAACAAAAGAAAAAATGAAGATTTTCAGTTTGTATGCTGTTTTATTATTTCTGTGAGCAATCCTTGTTTTGGCCGGAAACTCCTTTCGCAGTATATTGCACAATCTATTTGGAACACTAACTTAAGTGGATATATATCATGAAGTAGGTTTTGGACAACAATATGGGCAAACACAATGCAGATGGTCGACATTCAGCATTAATTCTTGCAAAAAATCAATTCCTTTCAAATATAGCGCTACTGGCTGGAGTACATTTCAATGTTTTAGTATGAGTATTCGGATGCAGTCCTTTGGTCGCCTTATTTACCATTATTTTCGAATGTTCCGAAGACTTAGGTTTGCGTTGCACATGTGTATTACATGAGTGTCATACTCGATAGGTGGTAAAATGTGTTAGAGATCAACAAGATAAAAAGAGGTTGGGCAGAGATTTTTATTGCTTACAAAAGTAACGGTCTCGATAAATCGTTGTACTTACAACAAAACGTCTCGTTTGGAACAGGTTATCATAGTTCTCAGAAGAATACAGGATAATCAATGGAATAGCGGATGCGCATTTTCTGTAGTTATGATTTTGAACACAGTAATTCACTCGACGACATCTCGTTAGTTTTGACTGTTGTCAGGAACCGCTAATCACATTTGTATGCACTACCCAAAAACTACTTAAACATGTGAGTGGTACCTCACAACAAATGTACGCTGATAAACATTAGGGGAACTAAGTTGGATCAAAGCTGCAAAATATACGCCTAAATATACCGACACATCTTAGAACTGCAAATGATAATCTGATGCGTTTGATCGAATAACCAAAAATCGAAGTTGTTCTAATTTCGAATCTACAAATTCGGTCGTCAGTCAAGATTTAGAAATTAAAATAACGTCCCATCGACAGGTTAGGCATCGCAGCCCTATCTCCCAGGATTAGGTGAATCAAACCTTCAGAATCTGTAAGGATATGACGCAGTCAATGATAAAACAGAAAACAGCTATGTGAAATATTGGCTGTTCCAATTAGTTTCATGCTCAGCTAGGCGAACTTCTAGGAGTGATTGTTGGGTCAGGTTTATCAACTGTAAAGTTGGACCGTAAATCCCGCGGTGATTAAGGTGGCGTGATAGAACCTTCTGTTGGAAAACCATTTTCTGGTCCTGAATTTCGCAAGTATTTTAACCGCAGTTTTGCTGGTCTCCTGTTCTTGTATGCTTGCAATGGTTGTCAAACTTCTGCAACCCTATCATCTTTTCCAATGAGCTCTTCCTTGGGCTGCTTTGGAAGTTGTTTTGGGAACACGGCACGTGCTTCTCTTTTGTAGTACAGAACTGATAACATCCGGTGAGGCTTTGAATGTACTTATACTATTCATAGCTACCGTTAGAAAAGACGATCACCGATGTTCATCCTGTAGGCATCCAATACAACAACCTTCCAGTGATTTCCGTGAACCAAACCAAAAAATCGCAATACCGAATCGGTCAGGAACCTGCAATACCCTACCTGAACTACTGTTAAACCAAAAATGAACTCCGTTCCACCCCTTTTGTTCTGCACTCTTCGCAACTGTCATTGCTATAGACAGTTTCCTTCTGACTAACTAAATTTTTGTGTGTAAATTTCTGAGCTGTCAAAGCATACAGTTGTTGTGCCAAGTCATGACTCACATTATCTCTTAGGTACGCATT